AAAGCTGACGTTTCAGGCCTAGACCCTTCTTCAGAAAAAAGAAGAAGGGTCTAGGCCCGAAACGTCAGCCTTCCTGCTCCTCTGATGCTGCTTGGCCTGCTGTGTTCATCCAGCTCTACACCTTGTTATCTCTATATCTTTGTCTAAGCAGGGATTGCTAAAAACAATGCCTTTTATTAATTTATTCACTGGATATGTGTGTCACTGGCCAGACCAGAATTTATTGCCCTGGGGGCTGTTAACAGTCAACCACATTGCTGTGGGTCTGGAGTCACATATAGGCCAAACCAGGTAAGGATGGCAGATTTTCTTCCCTAAAGTACATTTCTGAACCAAAAGGGTTTTTCCTGAGAATCAACAATGGCTTCAAGGTAATCATTAGGCCTGTAATTCCAGATTCTTTATTGAATTCAAATTCACTTATCTGTCACAGCAGGAGTTGAACCCAGGTCTCAAGAACATTAGCTGAATTTTTGGATTACTATGTCTAGTGACAACGCCACTAGGCCATTACCTCCCCAAGAAAGCTTGTGACATTTCTTACATGTGCCTCACTGATGAATGTCACATGGCTTCTTATCCAGGACAGAGTCTTGCCTGTTTTTATTAAAATTAAAGATGGGTCTGAAACAAATGTAGTAAGTCCAATGCAGAGGCTAGACTGTAGAAGCACCAGTCACTATTGTAATAGACGGACAGTGTCAACAGCAGAATTTGGGACAGAAATTTGCCCCCTAGTGTGGCAAGATGTCATGGATCAAGTCAGCTTGGTGAGAAATCTGGAAGGAATTCCATGATGGAAAGAAACACAGACATAAAGTAAGAATATTATTGTAAAACTGAAGGACAGAACTTGATTGTTAGAATATTTGATGGTAAACACTTTATTATATCGTTGTATCTGTATGTAGTGATTGTACATGAATACAAATTAGTTAAGCCCACAAGATGTAGACCATTTAGCCCATCGAGTCTACTCCACTATTCAATTAGTTCATCGCTGATTTGATAATCCTCAGCTCCACTTTCCAGCCTTTTGTCCATAACCCTGATCCCACTACTTATTAAAAATCTGTCTCTCAGCCTTGAATATGACCCAGCCTTGTGTGGTAAACAAGTTCAACTGATTTGCACCAATCAGAGAGAAGAAATTTCTCCTTATCTCTGTTTTAAATGGGTGAACCCCTATTCTGAGATTATGCCATGTTGTTCTAGACTTTCACACAAGGGGAAAGAACCTCTCCACAACAGCCCAATCAAATTCCCTAAGAATTTATTATGTTTCAATAAGGTCGCCTCTCATTTAATTATATTTCAATGAGTACAAGCCCAATCTACTTACTGTCCCATCATTGGACAGTATCTCCATACCTGGTATCAACCTAATGAACCTTCTCTGGACTGCCTCCAGTGCCAGTATATTTTTCCTTAGATAAGAAGACTAAAGCTGTTCACACCTCCCTATTTTTATACTCCATTTCCTTTGAAACAAAGGCCAACATTCCAATTGCCTACTGAACTTGAATGCTAGCTTTTTGGATTCTGGTATGAGGATTCCCAAATCTGCCTGTGGTGTAGTGTTCTGCAGTCCTTCTCCATTAAGTCAAAATTCAGGTCCTCTATTTCTTCCTGTCAAAGTGCATAACCTTACATTTCCCCACATTATATTTGATTTGTCAAGTTTTTTGCCCATTTGATAAACCTGTCTATATCCCTCTGCAGACTCTTCGTGTCATCCTCACCACTTGCCTTTCCACCTATTTTTGTGTCATCCACAAACTTGGCTGTGGTACGTTCACTTTCCTCATCCACGTTATTAATGCATATTGTAAATAATTGGCACCCCAGCACTGATTCCAGTGGCACTCCATTAGTTACAGGTTGTCAACCTGAAAAAACCCCTTTATCCCAACTCTCTGTCTTCAATTACTGAGTCAACCCTCTATCCATGCTAATATGCCACCTCCAACTGTTCCTTTTATGATAATATGTAGTAGTTACTGTTGTTATGTACCTACCACCTGCTTACTGTGATCTCTGATCAATAGAGATTGATGTCCTTCTGCTCTCCATCAACTGAGTCTAGGGATATAAGGGAATGAAGCAGGAAAGTGGATTTGATGTATGTGTTCAGCCATGTGTTTATTGAATAGCGGAGCACACTCAAGGAGTTAATTCTTCTGTTCCTCTTTCTTACGTTCTTGTATCCACAAGGAGAATCCAGTGCTTCTCACTGGATCCAGAAGCTCACCACCATTCAACAGAACTCCAAGTGTCATCGTGCTGATTGAAACAGGCATATGCCACCAGCGACATATGCAGAACAATCAATTTGGAGACTTCATTTGACACCATCTGTAACATGGTCATTATGGAGTAAAGGGTAGGGAAAGCTGATTGGTTTTACTGAATGATGACAGTTTTTTGCAATCCCACAACCATGTGTAAATGGCAGCAGGTACTGCCTCTAAATTTCCGAGTTCCTGAAGGTGATCTATAACACTGATATACCCACATCCGGGGTTAAGCTCAGATGTAGGGCTTCTGGAGCCCCTGCTACTGGCCAGTTAGGTTGGCAGTCATCACATAAGTCACAAAATAATGGCTCTCCTTCATCCACGGGACCAAATAATCAACCAATATTTCCAAGTTCACAGAATACAAGGGAACAATGCAAAAGCTATGCTTTATAAACTTATAAACCAAATTCACTGATAAAATCGAGTGGCTTTGCTTTCACCATATCTTACAGATGGTCATTGTTTGACTGCCCAGAATAGAAGTAGTCCATTAATTAAATCCCAAGCTTCCCACTGTGAGGGACTGGAAGATCCCACAGCACAAACTCTGAGGTCCTAAGTAAGTTATTTTGCCACCAGAACATGACAGATGGCTGTCCCTGCAGGTATATCATGGCGAGGTGGTGCAGCTAAGTTGCAGTTTCCCTGCTGAATGCAAACCCAGTTACATCATGCTCTCCTGTCATGCCCAAGGCAGCAGATTCTATTGAAGCAGCATCTTTGTTTGGGGTAATGTACCTCCTGTGCCATCTGCACTCGCACTGTTTGCTGACTTTACCAAAATAAGTGACATATAGAAACAGCAATGCATCACTGATAGACCACTATTTGTCCTTCTTTAGTGGTCTCAAAGATTTCCTATCTGCAAAATGGATTAACAAAAGGGAAAAGGGTGACCTCTCCTGACACACCCATCAATGACCATTACACCCCAACTCTTGGCTGAAAGCTGTTGTGTACTTTTAATCCCTGTCACTGCTGCACTTCGCAATCTGAAGTTTTCCTTTCATTCAACTCATCAATACCAGGTCTAACCCAAATTAAAATATCTCAATATGTGATTTAACTGCAGAGTTCCTTAACGCTGGATACAGACCCTCATTATAGACTCTTAACCAGCACTCTCCTTTAATGTTTGTTTGTCCATTTTGTAGCGATAGGAATGCTGTATGCGGTAGGAAGTGGCCATCATTCAATTGTAACATTAACAGTAAAACAAACAAAGAACAAAGAAAATTACAGCACAGGAACAGGCCCTTCGGCCCTCCAAGCCTGCGCCGATCCAGATCCTCTATCTAAACCTGTCGCCTATTTTCAAAGGATCTGTATCCCTCTGCTCCCTGCCTATTCATGTATCTGTCTAGATACATCTTAAATGACGCTATCGTGCCCACCTCTACCACCTCCGCTGGCAACGCATTCCAGGCACCCACCACCCTCTGCGTAAAGAACTTTCCACGCATATCTCCCATAAACTTTTCCCCTCTCACCTTGAAATCGTGATCCCTAGTAATTGAGTCCCCCATTCTGGGAAAAAGCTTCTTGCTATCCACCCTGTCTATACCTCTCATGATTTTGTAGACCTCAATCAGGTCCCCCCTCAACCTCCGTCTTTCTAATGTAAATAATCCTAATCTACTCAACCTCTCTTCATAGCTAGCGCCCGCTATACCAGGCAACATCCTGGTGAACCTCCTCTGCACCCTCTCCAAAGCATCCACATCCTTTTGGTAATGTGGCGACCAGAACTGTATGCAGTATTCCAAATGTCGTCGAACCAAAGTCCTATACAACTGTAACATGACCTGCCAACTCTTGTACTCAATACCCCATCCAATGAATGAAAGCATGCCGTATGCCTTCTTGACCACTCTATCGACCTATGTTGCCACCTTTAGGGTACAATGGACCTGAACACCCAGATCCCTCTGTGCATCAATTTTCCCCAGGGCTTTTCCATTTACCGTATAGTTCGATCTTGAATTGGATCTTCCAAAATGCATCACCTCGCATTTGCCTGGATTGAACTCCATCTGCCATTTCTCCGCCCAACTCTCCAATCTATCTATATTCTGCTGCATTCTCCGACAGTCCCCTTCAGTATCTGCTACTCCACCAATCTTAGTGTCATCTGCAAACTTGCTAATCAGACCATCTATACCTTCCTCCAGATCATTTATGTAATCCACTTAAAATATAGTGGCGCATTGGAATTTCAGAAAACCTATGCCTCAAAACTTTACTTTTCAGCCAACATGATCAAGCAATGGAAGTACGACTTTGTAGATGAGAAGTTATTGAAGATGTTTTAACATAGACCCAGAAGGAGGCCATTCAGCCCATTGTGCCTGCACCAGCTTTCTGAGCATTCTGTTTTAATGCCAATTGCCTGCCTTCTCCCTGTAACCCTACATAATTTTTCCATTCAAATCAACAATACCTTCTCGACTGCCTCAATCACACCTGCCTTAACCACACTTCCCAGCAGTAGATTCTGTCCCCTAACTACGTACTGAGTGAAAATTTTTTAACTAACTGAATTAGATTTCTCTGAAGTCTCCTGCTTATCTGTATCCTGCTGTATCCTCTGGCAAATCCCCCCCACTATCCTCAGCTCCTCGACCTTTATGTCATCTACAAATTTACTTATTGGGCCACCTACATTCTCTTCCAAATCATCTATATATATTACAAACAACAAGGATCCCAGAACTGATCCTTGCGGAACATCAATGGACACAGATCTCTAATCAGAAAATCACTCTTTCTCTGTTACTCTCTGCCTTTTATGACCAAGCCAGTTCTGTATCCATTTTACCAGCTCACCACAGATCCCATGTGACTTCACCTTTTGTATCAGCCTGCAATGAGGGACATTGTCAAAGGCCTTGCTAAAGTCCATATTGACAACACCCACCACCTTGCCTTCATTAATCATTTTTGTCAAAAAACTTCCTCAAAAAACTCAATCAAGTTTGTGAAATACGACCTCCCCCAAGCAAAGCCATGTTGCCTGACGCTAGTAATCCTATACCTTTCCAAATATGATTAAATCCTGTCCCTAAGTATCTCCTCCAATAATTTCCCTACCACTGAGTCAAGGCTCACAGATGTATAATTTTCCAGATTATCCCTGTTGCTCTTCTTCAACAATGGAACAACACTGGCTACTCTCCAGTCCTCTGGCTCTCTCCTGTGACTAAAGAAGATACAAAGATTTTGTACAAGGCCCCAGCAATTTCCTCACCTGCCTCCCTCAGCATTCTAGGATAGATCCCATCTGGTCCTGGGCACTTGTCTATCTTAATTCATTTCAAACTATCCAACACCTTCTCCCTTTTTATAATGACATGCCCAGAATATCAACATGTGCCTCCTGAGACTCACCATCCACCATGTCCTTCTCCTTTGTACATACCGATGCAAAGTATAGGTAGTTCTGCTATAACGCACGTTTCATTAATGCGAATTGGCTGTAATGCGATGGATAAATAGTGGATTCTGTTTGGATAACACAAACTTTCTGCTGTACTGTATAACAATTTTCTATAGTGATTTCCCTATAGCAGAATTTTCTATAGCCTGAGGTCATGCAAAAATGCAACTATTGCGTTATAGGAAAACTACATGTACTCACTAAGATGCTCACCCACTTCCTTCGGCTCTACACTTAAATTTCCTGTTTTGACCTTGAGTGGACTTACTCTTTTCCTAGTTATTGTCTTGTTCCATATTTATGTATAAAATGCTTTGGGATGTTCCTTAATTCTGTTTGCAAAAGGCACTTCAAGGCCCCTCTTAGCCCTCCTAAGTCCTTTGAGTTCTTTCCTGCTATCTTTGTATTATAGAGTCATAGAATCATAGAGATGTACAGCACAGAAACAGACCTTTCGGTCCAACTCTTCCATGCCGACCAGATATCCTAAATTAGTCTAATCCCATTTGGCAGCATTTGGTCCATATCTCTCTGAACCCTTCCTATTCATATACCCATCCAGAGGCTTTTTAAATGTTGTTGTATTCTTCAAGTTCTCTGTCTGCTTTTAGTTTCCGAAACATTATGATTGCCTTCTTTTTATTTTTGATTAAGCTCTCAATTTCTCTTATCATCCAAAGTTCCTGAATCTTGCCATCCTTCATTTTCACAGAAACATGCCGGTCCTGAATTCTAATCAAATGGCTTTTAAAAGGTTCCCACATGCCAAATGTGGCTTGGCCCTCAAACAGCCACCCTCAATCTACATTCCCCAGTTCCTGCATAATATTGTGGTAGTTAGCTTTCTCCCTGTTTAGTACTTTCATCCTAGGACTACTCCTCACTTTATCCATAAGTAACTTAAAACTTAGAGAATTATGGTCACTGCTCCTGAAATGCTCCTCCACTGAAACTTCGATCACCTGACCTGGCTCATCCCCCAGTACCAGGTCTAGTATGACCCCTTCCCTGGTTGGGCTATTTATAGATTATTTCTAAAAATACCATCCTGGACATACCTGAAAAAGTACCCCCATCCAAGTCCCTGGCATTATGTGAGTCTCAACCAATGTAGAGAAAGTCAAAATCACCCACCAATGAACAAATATTTTTCTTCCCTCTTCACAAAAGATAATAAAACATTTCAGTAGTAGCCATAAATCAGGAGGTGGAAGAGACAGAGGAACTTAAGAAAATTACAATTACAAGGAAACCTTATATGTGCTTCTTTTATCTTTTTGACTAAGCTCATAATTTCTCGTCATCCAAAGTTCCTAAATTTTGCCATCCTTTTCCTCCATTTTCACAATATCTGCTCGTGTAATCAACTTTAATCACACGAATCAACTAGCCTTTTATAAATTTTATATATCCTGCATAAACTCAGCATAGCCTCTTTTCTACTCCGAGCCCCTTTTAATTAAGTCTAGAATACTGCATGCACGAGTACGTTATGAACAAATTTCACAAAAAGCAAGTTAATGCAATAGTTTTCTCAGGCTCC